TTACAACCACTTTGATCTCGATACCCTGAAACATGCACACACACAGGGTACTACACTTAAAGTTGACAAGTTGATTTTAATATTCATGTTTTTTCTGTCTGTTATTACCATCTCCATAACATAGAATGAAGTTGCTAAGTGTTTAAATTGAATCACTTTTCCAACACTAAACCAGTGTTGGTGGACAATAGCATGTTTTGATAAAAAAGTGCACCGATATCTGTCTGATGGTAAGAACCATCTTAAAATTAAAATTCACCTGTTCTCCTACTGGCTCTTCTGAAGGTAAATCTCGTTTCGGTTTTTTTATTTGCCTATTGCTTTCTCTCCTTGCAGGAGTAACCTTTGCTGGGAGGACCTTTGCTGGGAGGACCTTTGCAGACAAGACCTTTGCAGGAGTAACCTTTGGAGAAACCAGTTTTTCTACTTTGGGACTTGGATCAAATACAGGATCATAAGGTGAGGATGACACAACAGGGGTTGTTGTATCAGCTTTCCGCTTTACTCCTCTCTTTGTCTGAAAATACAAAAAACCAAAAAAAAAATGTTATCTGGAGTATTGGTTTTGGGATAAAATTATGCAATGACGATACTGTAAAAAAAATATTTTTTTTGTTGAAATGTTCTTGTCGACTTTCTAAACTGGTGACAGTATGAACATTTTTGTGTTTGCATGTGCAATGGTTCTGAAATCTACATATTCTATATTATCTAAAAGGATTTCCACATTTTCACAAAATCTTCCCCTTTTTCAGTAGTTCATTTGAATTGGCAACATGGTGCTTTATCAATCCATAAAATCTAGAAGATCACAACATCTATCCTATGTTTAATAGTTTTCGGATCAAATGAGTGTATACCTTGATTGGTTGTGATGGGGGAACAATTGCTGGCTCTATGGCATCGTGTGTTGTATTGAATTGCGTTGATTCCATGACAGTATTGGTTGATGTGGTTGTTGTTGATGAGATTGATGCTGGTGCTGCAGTGACAGCCGTTGTGGATGATGGGGCCACAGCTGCAGTAGTTGGCTGAAGAGTAGATGAAGGGGTGGGTAAAGGAGGTGGGGGTACAGGTTTAGCTGGTTCAGCATCAACAGGCTTGGCATTGAGAGCTTTGCTGGCTGTAGCACCAGACAGTTTGGCAGATTTGGGAGTTTTTCTTGCTTGAGGGAGAATTTCTTTTTCCTGTGAAAAGAAAAAAGCCGGTTACAAATTGTATACTATACATTTTTTAATGTTCATTACAGGCATGAACTATGAAAACAAATGGTATAAATTTAGCTAATAAGAAGATGAAAGTGACGATATACATGTGTACATAAATATAGTCACTAGTTTCATGAAAGGAAACAGTGTTCCTTTCTTAGATACCAAGAAACTGTAATTAAACCTGAAATTCATTATTTGTGCCTTTGTTACTACTTGAACACTTACTACCTAACCTGCATCAATTAAATAATTGTAAATGCTTTATTTTAAATATGATTAAATATTCATCCTAATGATTCTACTGTTTTCAAAGTTTCTTAGGTTTTAATTAGTACTTCATACAAATGTCATAAACTGAACTTGCACCAATTGAAATTACTGGTGGACACCCTATTTATAAACATGGAAGAATGAATTTAATTGTAAATGGTTATTTATTTTTTATACTATTCCATCTAGTTCAGGTTACTTAAGGGATATTCCATTTAAACATACCCCTACCTCCCGGATGGCAAAATATAGAACTTCTGTGCATGGTTGGTGCGAGCAAAAGAA